CAGAGTAGTCCTCTCAAGTGTTTTGACAAAATCCTAGTAAGGAAGGTAAAGATAATGATAACAAACATGTGAAGGGTTTTCTTTATAATTCAGGAATAAAAAGCATAATTTCTCCTGCTAAGTGCTTCATGAATGTCTGATTTCATTCATATTCAAAAGTATCAGTGAGATATATCCTCTAAAATTGATAAATGCATGTCCTCTGCTAAATCCATCACGTTTCTTAGATGTTCTCATGCATGTTTTGCATTCTGCATCCTGAAATCATCAACGTCATCATCGTTGCTTACTTTTCCTTTGCATGGGTGAAAACACACTAGATGACCTTTGATGTCTCTGTCTGTCATTCAAAGTGAATAATGAACCTGTTGACTCTGTGTCTGGTCTGTAATGTTTAACCAGTGTGGCGAGTTCCTTCTCGGTGTCATGAACTGTTTAAAAGGATGTGACGTTGGTAACATAACTTGCATTTATCCTCAGTGTTGATATGGGCTTTCATGCTTTTTACCCCATCTCAGTATGCCTGCCTTTATCCCGCTCACGTGCCTCCAAACAAGTTTGTATCGTCACAAGCCTGAGAGGCAAAGACTGTCACTCTCTTCATGGTCATCTTTGATCCAGGAGCTTTGTTGTCTGTAGATCATAAATGTCAGTTCAGGCACTTGCAGATGTGACACTGTGTTGACTGTTTATTAAAACCCCTTACAAATTTTGCGGCCACTTTATAATTCTATTGCAGTCAATAGAAATATTTTCAGCCAGAAAGAAAGGGGGGGGGGCAATACAGCTTTTCACTGCAACCCAGATCATCATGGCAGGTGTTATCAGCTGATTTTAACTTATTTCAAATGTATCGGTATGTGTTGGCTGATAAGCAATAAGAAAGCCTCCCAGTTAGGGGCTAAAATGTGAACCATTTAACTGAAACATCCCTGGTTTTGATTCCAGCCAGGAACCTTTGTTGCTCTTTCCTGGCAAAAACAGAAAAACAAAAAAAACCTTAAAATAATCAACACAAAACATAAATTCCAGGAAATGGCAAACATGTGTTTCAGATAATTTAGAAATGTGTCATTATTTCAAAGTTTGTCCACTGGAGACCTCTGACAAGTTTGTTTGTCAATTTTAAAATGTCCAGTCAGTACATTCATTACAATTCTCAAATAACCAAAGGAATTATTATAGAAAATGTTTATTTATGTTGCGTAATTATGCTAGAAAAAAGTGACTGATATATGCACAGTATTCTTATTTACATTTTGTATATTGAGATCAGCCATTGTTCCCATACTGACATAAAAAAAAATCATTCCCTCTTGATATTTTTTGTGTAATAATTAATGCTACAGGGCTAAACACAATCAGCAACGCTTTAAGTTTGTAATACTACACCCCTGAAATTATTATCCAGGTATTTCTGGTATTAGGAGTTATCTGTTCAACAGGCTCTAGACGCCAGTTTTCATCTTTAAGAATTTGTTAACTGCGTTCATGTGTCTGTGTTTGTGTGTCTCCTTTCTTTTGCGTTTGTGTATTCTTTCCTTCCCTTTGTGTGTGTGTGTGTGTGTGTGCGTGCGTGCGTGTTTTCTCTGTTCGTGGAGCAGTATCCAACAGAGGAAGACATGATAGAGTGGGCAAAGCGCGAGAGCGAGCGAGAGGAAAAGGAGCGACTCGCCAGGCTCACCCAGCAGGAACAAGAAGACCTGGAGCTGGCCATCGCTCTCAGCAAGTCTGAACTCTCCTGAGGACATTGTTTCCCCCCTCCTCCACTGGCCTGGCCTGGCCTGGCCTGGCCTGGCCTGGCCAAGCCCGGCCCAGCCCGGCAAGGCTTGCCATGGCACAGCACAGCCTGGTCCAGCCCAGAAAGCACCAAAGCAAAGTGGGGACTGTATAGGACTGATTCAGCAGCACCTGCTGACCCCATGAAGAGACTTTCTTAGAATAAACCCATCTCTGAATATTTCAGCCCCCCCCCCCAAAGCTGTGTTCACTGTTCACTGGCATTGCAGTATCGTGTTTTTCCATCCTGTTGGTCTCTGTGGTCTTCGTTTGGAGGAGAGGATTGGGGTGAAGTATATGGATTGTTTAAATGAAATGCAGTGAAAATGGATTTAGAGGTTGTCAAGTGTTAAGATCACCATGATCTGTTGATTTTTAACACCAGGCTGCAAATGCCACACTAACTCTCCAGAATGTAATTTATTTAAAACTAGGTTGAAATGGCCTTGTCTTTATCCACTAACCAAACTCACTACACTTTATTGAGTCTCAGCTCTCTCTAGCTTCTAAATTCATATTGAGGATTTCTTGAGATTTTATTAGTGAATGATAGACATGCCAAAAATGTGCAGGTTTTCTTCCAGTAAACTGTTAATACATGAAACGTTAGGATTTGAAGGTGCTGTAACAAAATCTAGGCATGTATCTTTAATATTGTCCTTTTCAAATGGAGTGACCATGTACTTCTCCAGTCCTGTATGATGGCAGAGAGCCCGTGAGATTTTCCCTTTTCTTTTCTTTTTCTTTTTTTTTTATTTCAGGACAGGGTGACAGAATTCAACATTTCTACATGTTTAACTGGAAGTTACCAGTCCTCTGATATGTGAAATGCATGTGCTGATTTATACTAAAATTGAACAAATCCATCACAGCTGCCTCACTCAGCTTCACAATACTTAAACTTCTTTTGAATTTAAGTAAGTGCAAAGCCTTTCCCTGCATCTGTTTTGTCTGTTAGAAAATGTATTTTTTGGGAGACACTGAAAGGAGTGAAACGACATCCATGATATGTAATAACTACATATTAATTTGCAGGCACACTACAACAGATTGCACAAAACGAGAATATAACTTTTAATTGAGTCCGATATTCAGTGTCTAAGATTTAGATAATGCAGATTTAAAATCGTTTTTTTTTTTTTTGTCTGAAGGGTGACCCACACAGAGAACCTTGTTCCTGCAAGGCCAGAGGACGGGGTCAGGCACAGAACATGTTTCCCTAAAGCAGTGTGTTCCTCAGTGAAACCCCAGCAGCATGGATGCTGGTTGGGTAACTTTTTTTTTTTTTTAAAGAAAGAATTGGATTAAAAAATGTCCTCAAGCAGTAAATATCCATGTCACAAATTTCACACCAGATCCCATTTTAAAGTGTGCTACCATTGGTGCTTCTTTTGTTAGCATTTGTATGGACCTCTTTTTAGTTTTCCAGGATGTTTTCTGGGAGATGCTTCCCCTCTGCAGAGGCGAACTGGATTTCAAAGTCTTACACAAAGTCAGTAAAAATTGATTAGTGTCTCTGCGTTTTTGGTGGAGCACTTTCTGTCTGTGCACGTCAGGCTCTGTGGTCATTTAACTTGCAAAAAGGCTGCTGTTGCACTGTCATCCTAGGGAGGGCTCAACTGAGAGCACAACATTTTGACATCTCTTACTGTTCTGACTTTCATTTTTTCTCCTTCTGTGTAGAGTGAGCAGCGTCATCTAGTTCCCTCTTCTCATGTTTTAGCAGTTTACTGTCTCTGGTTGATGCAGCACTTCCTACTGAGTGCAGTCTCTCATATTGCAGTTCACATGTATACAGGAGAACCAGAGTCGCCCGTCTGTTCGTCACCTTCACAGCTGAGTCTCTTGGCGTACTACAGTTAATAGATTAATTCTGTCACAGTTAAAGGCCTCCAGACACAGTACTGTCATTTGTACAGACCTTGAATTTTACAAATTAAGAACCACTTATGTTTCTAGGCTTACCCATAAAGGCTTTTTAAAACTCAAGCTAATTGTATTTTATTTTGTATTTTCTAATGTGTAATAAAAATCATTATTGGGAGGTTTGGCCAGAATATGTAATGCATTTAATTGAAACAGAATAAATATTAAACATGTAGTTTTGCAGTTTGTGCTTTTTTTTTTTTGGTTGTTTTTTGATGGTTTTGTCTTCAACGGCTAGTGGTTATGAAACGGCACATTATGAAAATACTACCATTGGGAAAGAGAACATCCTTGTTGTCATTTCAGCTTGAGCTTGTTTGGAGTTTGAAAGACATGTACATTTACCAGAGAGGGTCTAGTTGAGTTGCATTATGGGAAAGGTAGGATCCGGTACTTTTGGGCTTGACTCGTAGCTGTCAGGATAACTTTGCTGCTTCCATTTTGATGATTTTGTTTTTGTTTTATTTGTCTTTTGTAGGTACCCCAAATACTAAATTGCTGGAATGCCCCTTTAAGTAGAAATATTTAAGTATTATCATTAAACATTAAACTTTAAGCACCAAAATAAAAGTGCTCATTATATAGAATCACCCTTTTCCATAACTACATATATATGTAACCATATACCATATATGGTTACATGTATACATGTATTTTCCACTTGTTAACAGCTCACAGGGATTATACTATTACTATATTATATTATTCAAAGCAATGAGAAACATCAACATAGTCTAAAAATTTACCTCAAATACAGCCTACTTCACAATGAATTACAATATATATTATCACACATTATTGTATATTATACTTTTCCTAATAAATCATTTTCTAAAATTGGTTAAATAATTTGTTGTTTCTTGACCTTGGAAGCATCAGTTAGCACAATATCTTACCACAATGTCCATTTAGAGGCTGCAGCTTTCAGTCACATCACATTATCTTCATCTGTGGATGGAGTTTGCCCAGGAAATGTCCAAATTTCCTTCTTAGCATTTTATGAATAGTTTCATCCACATTTGTTCAAAGGTTCAGCGTGAAAATAAAAACATGCATAATGTAGATATAGTTTAAAAGGGTTAAATGTCGAATAATTTTTTTTAGGCTTTATGTTTTTGACTTATGTGCTTACTTACTTGTTTATTTATGGGTGTAGGGTTCTTTGTTAATTTTTTTTATTTTTAATAACTTGTCAGAATGTGGAGGGTGTTAGGACCATGAAGCCAGGACAAGCAGCAGCTACATTCCTGTGCATTTAAATGGGAAAGTCATTAAGATGGTGATGAGAGCAAACACACCTTTCTTCGCCAGGAAGGAGGAAGACACACAGCGGCAGCTCTCCCTACATTTGTGTCGGTGTGCTCTAAGTGTGAACTGCTCCTCTCCTCTCCTGTGTGTCAGTCTGTCTGTCTGTCAGTTCATCCATGCCCGCCCTGTAAACCTGCTCTGTCCGGGATATTCTGCTGTTTCACCGGATCTCAGCGCTGTGGAATGAGTTTTATCACCGGCTGGAGGCGAAGCGTGAAGAAAAATGACAGCAAAAAGTGAGTACAAGGGAAAGCTCCTGGAAATCAGTGCAAGTCCAGGCCCTGTCGGTACTTGCCTGTTTTCACAGTGCGGCCAGCAGTGCGAATGTAATCGCTTTTTCTGGGGACCGTAGTGCAGCCTACTTGTGTTGCTGTCCGCCGATCATCTTGTCATCACGCTGAAACTGACGTGTAGAGCACAGCATTTCCAGGACGCCAGACCCAGATTCTCCGTAGACCACACACACACACACACACACACACACACACACACAAACAGACTCCTTTGAGCAGGTTTAGTGTCTAAAACCTGATATGTGAAGTTTATTCCTGTGTTTTTTTTGTTTTTTTTTTGTTTGGATCAGATGAGTCATTCCTATCATCTCACTGTAACAGCAGCTGCCACTTTCCCCCTCTCAGACAGAAAAAGTTGTGTTTGACAGGAATTTTTTCTTTTACAGCTTCTTCCCTCTGTGAATCCCTCTGTGTTGCCTGTAACTGCTTTGATGAAGTCTGTTGTTGCCAATCAGCAGCCTGTTAGACAACATTACAGTCATGATTTGGTCAAGCAGGATTACAGTGAAGTGGAACTGTTACATATGAGCTTTTGAATGATACACACACACACACACACACACACACACACACACAATTACATGATAGAGAAACCATTATTTTATGCAGTCTACAAATTAAATAATGGTGTTTTAAGTGGAGAGTGTTGTAGCTTGAATGCTGTTGTGGATGAAATGGTCAAATAGTCTAAAAATAACACAGCAAAATTATAATATATAAACAACCTCTATCCAAAAATTGGTATGGGTCTGTTGAAAAAAAAAAATTCAGCCACAAGGAGGGGGCTCCATTTAGTTTTGTGTTTATGCTGACATTTTACTTCTTTCTGGCTTTTGGCCGTCGGTGTCTTTTCGAATCACTATTCAGTTGATTAATTCATTAGTCATCAAAGTATGAGACAACTGCCTTGCAGTGCTTTTCTCCTCATAAATTGACTTCAAAAGTTGAACATTAATTGTGCATTTTTAAAGATGTCTGTGATTGTTTCTGATGTTTTTTCAGCTTCCATTTATTTTTACCTTTATATTAGGGTTTTTTCTTATTCAAACATACAGTTTTTTGTCGTCTATGCTGGTAGAGGATCTCTGCTAGACTCTTCAGTCCACTTTGCATCTTCAGATCAGACTAGCTAACATCTTCCTCTCACCATCGTGAGATCTATTCTTACATTTGCTCTAAGTTGACCTTTGAACCTCTTTGCAGGGATGCCAAAGAGGCACAAGACATCCCTGACAGCCCGGACTCTCCAGGCCGGTACGTTTATATTGTCCACGTACACATTTATTCTTACAGCCAGGAACTATCAGCAGTGTCACAAAGAAAACAGCAAGTCCCGCTCATAGTGCTAATAACACATTTAATAAGAATATAATAATGCATTTGAACCTTTTGAGTTCACCATTTTAACTCCAGACATGCTGAGTCATACACAGACTGACTTTTATTTATTTTCAGGTTGGCAGTCATAAACAGTCGAGACCTGGATCCCATCATCACAGACTTCAGGTGAGTGTCTTTTAACTTGAAAACCACTGTAGGCAGACATTAGACTAAATAATCGGATAAATGTATTCTTGGTTACAGTTTAAATATGAACTCTCTTGATTCTTTACTTTCTGTAAAAGGTGCAGCTGATACATGTTTTGAAATGAACTACCAAAACTTTCCCAAGATCTGTTCCCACATCATATGATTTCCATGACATTTTCTCAAAACTGTCAAATTAATATCTGGGGAAAGATCTTCAATAAATCAGTGCAAAGAAATAAGTAGACGGGGAGTGTCCAATACAGTATATCTCTGTCTGTGTTTCTAGGGCTCTCACGATCATGTTCCTCAAACAAAAGCTCTCCTTTCAGCTGGTCTTCATCCCTGGAGATTTCCTTCTTTTCTCTAAACAGCCTCAATTTTGTCCCTCTGGTTCAGGTTACAGCTACCGGACAACAAAGATGCTCTGGAATCTACAAATCCATCTAATGGGTAAGACTGGAGGAACATTGTCTTTGCGTTTCTTCATTATTGTATGATCCTGCTCATCTGTCAGTCAGTGTGAACAGATTGTAACTTGGAGGACTTCTCTCCACATGTTAGTGGCATGTTGAGGTAAGGGTCATGAGAAGGTCACTGGCATTAATGCGGCTTCTTTCTGCTGTTCACCATATGAATAGTTCAGACAGAGAGAACCTGAGAATAACTGGTTGAGTGTGAACACAAACCTGTTGCTTATTCAATTGTCTAATCCCACGTTGTGTTTCAAGGCATGTAAAGCATTTATTGGGAGCCTGAGGACGAGGATAGTTGTGTCTGTTTGGATCTGAGGCAGGGAATTTAAAGCATGGATGATCAGCAAAACTAAATAGAGGTTAAAGTTGCCACTGTACATGTATTACTTTCACTGTACCTCATTAAATCTTAAATATATCATATACTGTATATCATTTCTAGACATTAATAATAAAAAAAAATACAATATTTCAAAAATACCTTGACAGCATGTACCTGCGTCCTCATTTGGTTAAGTTTGCCCTTGTGTACCAACAGGTTATGTTTCACAGGAAATCTGCAGAGTTTATAGTTGATTTACGGCAAAAGACGCTCAAATCATTTTACCTGCTGTTTTAATTACCCATAATTTATTTGAAGTTTTGCAGCTGTGACAAGTGCTACCATGTGCTTTATCTAGTTACTTGATGCAATAGTTAACATCAACTGTAGGCTCAAAATTACAACAAATTTTAGGATACATATTGACTTTTTTTGAGTGTACTTAAAGGGGCTATTTGTAAGCTTTCTCTGCCACTGAACGTGGTTTCTTGCCGGGAGCAGTTGGTGGCGATTGTCGCAAGAGCTTTGGCCATCGTTGTCTTTATAATGCAAGAGGATATAATACGCCCTCTCAGCAACGTTACGTCTTCAGGACAGATTGGAGGCTACAGTGAGTCGCTATCAGAAAGTTACGAGACAGGCCGGGGCTAGCCAATTAGCCTGCTAACTTCAGTAGAAGAAAAGACGTGATAGAGAGGAGAGTTAACTTTGCCATTAATTCCACCGCTAGAGACAGCTCGTGGTGAGTAAAGGAATGAAGTTTGATGCTGAACTCACAACGCTTCTTCTAGACTGGTAAGTAAACAGCTGCTAATGCTAACTTTGGCTATGTAGCAATAGCAAAACTTACAAATAGCTCCTTTAATCTTGTTCATACTCAAAACTTGCTTATAATTAGTCTCCAGTATGGAATTAAGACATGGCTAAGGTGTTTAGATCTGTGGTACATGAATATTAATACAGATTTACATATTATTAAAATAAACCAAAAAAAGCCTAAATGGTTTGAAATTGCAAGTCATAGTCATAATCATTAATCATTGTTTTTTGGTTGCCAAATCCCATTATCCACCATGAGGACAGTAGCGTATCAAAACCAGTTATCTCCACCTTAAACCCATGACCCACGCACTACAGTCTATAAAGACTGATGAATTTCCCCTCATGTTTCTGTGCTGGGCCGAAGTGCTTTTCCCTTGTGATTGTGTTTTTATGAGAGAAAAATATGTCAAACGTGACAAGCACTTAGACGTGGTCACATGAATGTGCTCTTTATGCTTCCTGATGTCAGCAGTGTTACTAAGAACACGTGTGTGTGTGTGTGTGTGTGTGTGTGTGTGTTTGTGTGTGTGAGAGAGAGAGAGAGACAGTGCCAACACCACACTAATAACATATCTTGGCAAACTAGAAAGAAGGCAGAAATTTAATGTTACTGGACACACAAATTTGACATTGGTACTTACGCGCTAACTAACCAGTTAACTATAAAAAACATTAGCAAACAGGAAAAACAATACTGACCTATTGGCTCTGTGAAACATAGCAGACATCCCTGACCTGGCATCAGTGACAAGCTATTAAAGAAGTTCATAGTAAGGACATGTAGTGTTATGGACCCACAAATGTCACCATTGAACTATCAAATGCATAGAAAACATACACAAAGGATTTTTCTTTCACAAACTGACCAGCCCCCAGCATGTCACAGAGATGTATGAGCAGACCATGGGTCAAATGGTCAGTTCACACACACACACACACACACACACACACACACACACACACACACACACATACACACACACACACACACACACACACACACACACACACACACACACACACATATTATTATTATTATTATTATCATCAAAGGACTGCTGTGTAATCCACATACATTTACTATTAGTTTTAGGTAACATTAGTTATGTTGTTTGATCAACTAATCACTTGTATTCGGTTGAAGGTTTTGAAATGAAACTAATATGATTTCTGCCTTTGTATTGTTCTGTTCTGTCATTATTGGCACCATTAGGTTTATATGTTGTTTCAGTTAATGTTTATGGGCCATAGGCATTATGTTTCCCATATGTATGTCCGTCCATCCCATTCTCATGAACGCAATATCTTAGTAACTCATGAGGGAATTCAACTTAAACTTTCACTCAAGGGTGAACTGATAAAATTTTGGTGGTCAAAGGTCAAAGGTCTAAGTCACAGTGACCTCACAAAACACGTTTTCTCTTGAATGTGATCGCCCTGAGGGAATTTCTTCAGAATTGGCAAAAACATTCACAGTGGGCAAAAACTTATTCCTCTCCTCATGACTGGGTTGATGTCAAGATAAAATAATATTTTAACCATCAAATTTCACTTATAGACATCTTAGTATCATTTAGTAGTACAGCCGTAAAGTAAATAACCAAAACATATTCTCCCCCACCATTGCCCAATTCATTACACAGTTCATTTTATCAGCTACTGTTCTTTTGCTCCACCTTTCATATTGGTGATTATGAGGCATTACATTTAACCTGTAGTATTAGTCGGTTAATACGTTTCTTCATTTAAGCTCAGTCGTTGTGCTGTTGTGTTCCTTTGAAGTAGAGATCGAGCACGAATGCCCTCTGTTGCTCATTGGCTGGAATAGTGTTGTGTTACTCGTTGTTGTGTTATTTCCCGTTTACAGAGCCGGGACTGTGTAGGAACACCAGATTTTTTTTCAGCACACACACACACAGAACAGACAGCTAGCGGATTGAGAGGAGATAATCGCTGAATATGAGTGTATTGTGTCTAGTGTATTGGATTAGAATCACTTACTCCACCTTAAATAGTCATTAGTTGCAACCCTGCTGAGTGTATTTTATCAAATAGATTAAACGTCTTAGAACTTTTCTGACAATGGATAATAGACCTGTTTCATCAGCAAGGCAGTCAAGTCAGTCCTCTCTGAACTAAAGCTGATATGCCTTCTTCTGCTTTCAAATGCATGTACTACACCTCTCTCTCTCTCTCTCTCTCTCACACACACACACCGTCTTTCGGGTGAGTGGTGAGCTGCTGTTTATGGTAATCAAACACCATAACTCTTGGCACTGTGCCTATATTTCATTCATGATTTCACATTAGGTGTTGTGTAGCTACAGTATGCTGCTGCCGTGCTGCATCTACTGTATGTCTTCTGTTTCTGGACTCTGTTTTTTGGCTCGCTGCAGTGTTCAGTCTCTGCCACTGCAGCAGACTGGACCGGCTGAGATCCTCACAACACACCAGCTGTCTCTTTTTCCATCTTTTAAACCTGAAATTTCCCTCTTTCACATACAGCAGATGAAAGTGTGATGGTGTTTGTGTCAGAAATGAAAGCAGGTCTCTTTTCTCCTAGCTTTTTAAAATTTTTTTTAGTAGTTTCACATCTTATATAAAAATCAATAGGCCATGAGTTGTGGACATTTAGCTCCGCCCCTGATTTAGCATTAACCAATCTGAGCAGAGACTGCAGTGTGTAGCATGAGGGTGATGATCGGAAGAGGTGGGACAGGCTCGTGTGTGTGTGTGTGTGTGTGTGTGTGTGTGTTTGTTTGTGTGTGTTTGTGCGTATGCGTGCGTGTGTGCGTGCGTGCTTGCGTGCGTGTGTGTGTTAGCAGCAGCACAGATAGCCTGTGTATTCTCTCCTCATGTGTGATAGTCATCCCAATCTTATTAAGGGCTGCTGTTGCTGCTGCGCCCTTCCTCCTCCTCCTTCTCCTCCTGTCTCCCTCCCTCTCTCCTTCATTCTGACCCCCCTCTCTATCTCTCTTTCTTCTTTCTCTCTCTCCCTCTCTCTCCCGCCTGCACTTCTGCCGCTGCTTCTGCTCTTGTTGCTGCTGCCATAGAAAGAGACACAGACCATTAGACTGCTCTGCTGTAAAGGCCCCAGGCTCACTTCTGCAATTTTCTTTATCTGTCTTCTTCTCTGTCTCTCTTTCACACGCACACACACGCACACACCCACACACACACACACGCACACACACACACACACACACTTTGCCAGATGAAAGTGTCAGGAGAGGAAGAGACTCTGTCAAACGGGTAAGATACTTCATTACTGCTGCATGTTGGGATGACGTGTCTGTCATTCAGTCGGCCTCTGTAAGATCCTCTATAAGATTGTGTTTCTGTTGTGTTCCCATGATTTAAAGGGCAATGTGTGTGTGTGTGTGTGTATGTGCGCATGAGAAAGAGAGAGTTAAAGCTGTGACACTCAGGTATGTGGACAAACTTGCTTGGTTTATTATAGAAGCAGCTTGGCTCTTTTGTGTCACAGCTCAGTGCTAAGAGGCCTCCGAGCATCTTATAGCAGCTGGAATAAATGTGGTGAAAGCTCTGTGAACCTGGTCCGGTAAACTAATGCTTCGTCACTCTTAAACCGGAGTGTGTGTGTGTCTGTATGTATGTGTGTGTGTGTGTGTGTGCTCGCATGTTGGTTTGCATAAGCACATGCAGGGGTGTGTTTATGAATAGTGGATGTTTGCTAAGTGGTTCTATCTATCTGTGTGTGTGTGTGTGTGTGTGTGTGTGTGTGTGTGTGTGTGTGTGTGTGTGTGTGTGTGTGTGTGTGTGTATTTGTCTGATNTCTGTGTGTGTGTGTGTGTGTGTGTGTGTGTGTGTGCATTTGCCTGATAATGATTGTTATTGTGCAACTTGCTCCCTGGAGAAATAAACCCAGAATTTGAGACTCGTTGACTTAAAATTCAATTAAATTATCTGGACAATGTGTGGTATGCACATCCTGAACCTAACAGACTCTCCTCATTGTCCTGGTTGGCATGCCCTTTCTTCCTTTTATACAACTGTCAATTATTCCCTCCATTTAAAGGACAATGTCCTGTGCTGTGTGACAATCTTCGCTCTCTGACTGAGATCGCCTTCATTTCCTTTTCAGGGCCTCAGATTGTCTTTCAGCTGTAAACCTGACAAAATCTTATTTTCCAATCAGCCAGGACCAGTTGAGTTGGTTTTCAGCTATAAGGAAACGATGAAGCCACTGATTGTTCCCTCTCATTGATACCATCACTATACTGTAGTTACTGCTGTTACTCAACCAATTTGATGATTTCTGCCTTCATAATCTAAATAATGTGAACGCCAGGAAGTTTGACCTGTAAAATATTTAGCTAGTGTTTGAGTTTTATCTCAGCCGTTATGTAATGTGCACATGTAGCTGCTGTCTACAGTGTCCTGTTTTTGTCAGATAAGTAGACAAGCTCTCCAAAACACCATAGCCTCTTGAAGGTTATTGATATTTATTATTTATTAGATTATGCTTGTGTTCTCAACGTAACAGGTGATAAAACTCCAGCAAGGTTATCTTTTTTAAGAGGACTGAATAATGCCAAAACACATATGCGTGAGGTCAACACTAGGTTGTAGGGTTGTGGTCACAAGGAATTTCTTGGTTAAGTCAAGATTAGATGTGTTTTTTACTAGTTATAGGGTAAAGTGAAAGTCCAGGGAGTGAATGTAGTTAATGCAATGATGAGTTTGGTTTGACTGTCCCAAAGACAGAAGTGATGTCGATAGCGGTGCTTTAACACGTCTGACTGTTTCTTGTTTCTGTGCAAGACTGTTGTTTTAGGTAAAAGTGACAGTCGGAAGTCACTGCACCTTTGCAGAGAGAAAACAGATACGACACAGCAGAGAAAGCTCTGGCTGGATTCAGTCAGTGGGCCCCGGGGGAAGACATGTGACTCTACAGCATTATCCTTAAAATCAATGACATAAACATATATACAGTATTGTGCCTTGTTTTAATTCCCTCCTGGCATTATTGATAGTTATATTATTAATCCCTTTATGTCTCATTATTTTGTTGTGTGTAGACACTCGATTATTGAATGGTTGATGTAAAATAAGTTTATTATTACAATTATTATTAGTATTAAGTTAAACTTTGGTACCTGTAATTGTTTGGAAGTATATATGCTCACTTAAAGACAAATGTATACTGAACATACATGTTGCTCTGTCGCCAGTGTGACTTTCTGTGCTGTTATCAGGAAGCCCAGCTTGTTGCTGGTCATATGGTGAACACAGCAGTCACCCGCATGTCATTAGGCAGAGCTGCACCGGTGTGTGTGCTACTTTATGGTGGTGCTGGTGGTGCTGGTGGTGGTGGTGTGTGTGTGTGTGTGTGTGTGTGTGTGTGTGTCTGTCTGAGATGATTTTATAGTTCCTCTATGTTTCTCAAGGGCTGGAATGTAAAGTGAACGCCGTCTATTAGTCACTGTTGTTACACACATTAGTTGTAGTTGTGTTTGCTGAGTTTCTGCTCTGCCATTCTTCCGCGTCTGTCTAATGTTTGCAGCTGGCATCATATACTTAAATGTAAATGGAGAACAGTTGTTAGGGTCTGTGATCAATACGGTAGCCTGGAAAACCAAACTGGATTTTATGATAAAACAAAGTGGAAATCAGGTTCCTATTTCACAAAAACACATACACAATAATAAACAAATGAACAACTCAGAAAGTATGCCACTTTAACATCAATAGCAAATGACTTAATTAATGAAAAAGTAGCATTCTACAAGACAACAAGTCATCATCCAGATGAAAGAAATGAATCATCTTAACATTGAAGAACATTAGTGTAGCACTCCTGTCAGCCAGAAGTGTTACACATTTACCATTCTCTTAATTAATTTGTTTTGCTCATTATGCTGAATGTTAGTGTTTTCCACATGCTGTGTGCTAATTGCAAACTGAAGTGATGAATAAAAAATCTTATTTAAGCAGATCCATTATCAGCACAGTGAGTGAAACCAAAGAGGAGGGAGCCTTGTGATGAAGGAGCAGTGCATGATTCTCAGTACTGACTTGTGCTCAGTTTGGCCACACTATACACTCGTCACGTGGGGGTCATCTGCACCAAGTAATGACGTCAGAATGGACAGCAGCTTTATCAAAAATTATCCTGAGCTTCCATAAAGGCAGCTTACAACAGAATGTTGTGTTTAGATACGGATATACATTTATTTGTGCCAGCAACAGCATCTGTTGTTCAACTTTAATAAATGATCCTGTTCAAAACTTGTCCCTGAGCTTGTATTTTCCTATATATATATATATATGTAAAAGTATATGGTTGTGTGAGCACTGTAATTTATGCTAATTCCTCCTGTAATGTGCAATGTAATGCAAACATCAACAACACTAACATCAAAGCACTCGCTTGAGCCAATTTGCTTCTCTGGCTCACTGCGTCTGTGTTTCTGTCTCTCTTGTGAAGTTGTGGGGGATTGGAAAATGTTTAATGGAGGATAAATACAGGAAGTGAACTGAGACAATATGATGATTCCTCATTCTGTCAGTGTTTGGAGGCTGGGTTTGTTGCTGTAAATGAGAACAGGGTCACTGCAGTAGAGGCAGACAACCAGAGAGAGAGAGAGATACTGGGGTGGGAGGGGGCAGAGCAGAATGAGGTGGCATGAATTTTTTTTGGATGCTACTCGTTTAGAGATCAGAGATGTTTACTAAACTAAGAATTCATCAGACCCCCAGCTTGGCCTGTTTATGAGCAAACATTTTCAGCAGTTCTCACCCACTTCATCCACATTCTGTTTGTTTTGGTTCTCCAGGTGCTCGCGGTCAGACCTGTCTCTGGCGCTGGAGGACTGTATGGCCGCCCTGGATCTGTTTCTCAGAAATGACTTTGAGGAGGCGCAGGCCCGGCTCAGATGCAGGTAAGACATAACCTACCTGATCCAGCTATCCTGATATAGCTGCTGTTCTCACCTGTAATGGAGCTCAGGTCCACCTGGCTTTGTGCTTTCATGGACTTTCATACAGTGGATGAGAAACAAACAGCTGGCTTCATGCATACAAGCAACTGTATTTATAGTGTTTTTCACTCTCAGTTGTGAAGAGTTTCAACAGGAAATTGCATTCACGCACACAAATAATAAAATCAAAGATGGCTGAATTCCATTTAGCTGCTTCAGTTTCAGGGTCCTGGTATTGCTCATATTGGCTCACTGCCACACTGTCATGTCTCACATGTGACATGTGAATACAACAGAGTCATTGTTAATGTTAACGGTAAACTTCTCCCTCTGTATCCTTCATGTGGGCTGCGGAAAATGGCCTGTGGATGTAGTATTTTAGTTGTAATTAGCCAATATTAGCATGCTAACATGCTAAACTAAGATAATAAACATTAAAACATATCTTCTAAACAACAGCATATTAGCACTGCTGTTATTAGCATGTTAGCATGCTGATTTTTGATGCATTTAGCTCTAGGCCTCATCTTTCTCCACAGTTGAAAGTCAATTCAGATTGGAGGGCAGAGATATGTGTTATTCTGTTGTTTCTGTTTTGATAATGATTCAGCAAAACTCTTTATTGCCTCTATATTACCTTAGCTTATTTAATATACATTTTGTAAGGTAAAACATGAAATAATTGTTATTTGTTGACTTCCTAAAAGTAATTAGATCAATGTATCTGCTCAATAAAAGTGTCCAAAAATGAGGAAATAGGGTCACAATGATTGCAATGCAATGATTTAAAGGTTTAAATATCCAATAACAAGACAGAAGCAAAAGTACTACAGGGTGGGTTGGCTAGGAAGTGTTTTCTCCTGACACCTATTGATGATTTTATGGCTGTAGGTTTTACATGATTGACATGCTGCTTTGATTCACAAACTCCCTCTCCAGCCTCACTCCATTGCCTCTAGTTCTGTATTCCAACACTATGTCATCAAGTTACTCCATTGTTCACTGCTCATTCTCTCGTCTATTACTGGAGCCTTTATCACGCCCTCGCTATTATCCTCCACCCTCTGTCTCTTCTCTCTGGGGCTGTAGGCCACTCCTTAGCCACAGTTTTTTGTTTTCAGAGCGGGCTTATAACGAGATGTAAGAACAGCTTCCTGTCAGCCTGTACTTCCTTTTTATAATTTGGCACTAAGGCTAGATTGACACATATTCACAGTTTAGCGTATTTTCTGTTGATATTATGAGTCATTTAGATGTTTTTAACACAAAAAAGTTCAGATTGATGTAATTTGTTTGGTTTCTCAGCTCAGAGTTAATTATGCAGACTTTCATCGCAACATCACATAAATACTCTGACTATCCTGGTGTCATAAACATAATATGCTTCAGTATTTAAATCTGGATTTGTGAAATATTCCAACCTGGAGGAAAATCTGTGTAAATCCACCCTGGCTTTACCTCTAACTGCTGCCACAGCCTGGCAGTCGGTCAGCCCAGCGGGTCCTGGTTTCTGTCTCGATATTCTTCCCACAGCTCTGTATGGGTCATCTCTTCCTCTTTCAGTCACTGAAGAGCACCTAAACAAACAGTAGTTGCAAATATGTACGTTTGTAGCTGTGTTGAGCCCAGATGGTTGGATTTGACGCATGCAGTGGGACAGTATGATGTCCTATGAACAAACGCTGTGTCCTTCCCTCCAGCATTTCCCTAGTTTTAACAAAAGGAATCAAGGATTCAGTCGACAGTGAGGATGTAGTCAAATTAAAGAGTCATTTTACATTTTAATGCAGCACGCTAATCAAATTGAGATGTGGCTTTAATTTGTTTGGTTTGTACAAAACCTGATAACACCCACAATCCTCCTCTGAATGTTCCTGTTTGCTGCTGTGAGGAAGCTGATGGTCTGGAGTGTCAAACTTCTAATATATAATATTATGCAAGGTGTGTTGACATCTTCTGCATTGAGAGAGAGAGAGAGAGAGAGAGAGAGAGAAAGGAAACAAGCAGCCCTGTGGTTGTGACACACCAGCAGAAGCTTTCCTTGTCCTCCTAAGTGTTCATCTGCCCCTTTCTTTAGTCCATGTGTGCTTTCCAGTTCTCTTCTTCTTCACTCTTTGTCTCTGCACCCCTTCCCGGAGCTTGGTGCTGACGCAGTCAACTGGGACAGTCTCTGCAGCACACACACATGCGCACGCACACACACACACAAACACACAAACACACACTGAAACTAAAATACTTGAGCTTTCATTATGTGGATGTACTTTAACCAGTTATATCCCAATTTCTTTTACTCTCACATTCCTATTCATGATCAGGGGCAGCTGGAGCCTATCCCAGCATGCACTGGGAGGAAGACAGGGTTACTCATTACAGGGTTAATGCTCTCACACCAATACCTATGGGCAGTTTAAAGTCTCGAATGTACATGGTGCCATGTTTTGTGACTGCGGGAAGAGACGTGCAGAATGCTTGTTTCTCATGGGGAAGTGTGGGACTGGGAATAGACATCACCCTGTTTGTCACTGAATTAACGCTGAAGCATCAACTGTCACCAAGGGGACAATATTCTTGATGCGATGTGTGAATTACGCATTTCAGAATACATATTGAGGGATGTTAACTCATTGATAAAGGAGAGGGAGCTGATGGACAGCTGTAGCTCAGGCGGTACAGCATGTTAGCCATTTATAGCAAGGTTGGTAGTTATGTACAAGTGTTCTTAAGCAAGACACCGACTGACAGAACCACAAGCTGCTCCCGCTGTTTGTATATGCGAAGATTTTATTCCCTTTAGACAAAAGTTTCTGCCTTAATTTCTCTCTTACAAGATGCCGGCTTATTTTGATATTTCTGACCAGAAGTTCTGTAGTCTGAGCTATTGTCCGTACATCAATATCACTGCCAGTGAGCAACTCATACCACGTTATATAAGCCTATAAACTGAGCTATCTCTGCAAATTGCCCCTATATTACAGGATTCAGATGTTTGAGGCTCCCAGGCTATATGTTTCCCCTCCTCTAAGTCACAGTCAAGGAGCCACTGCAGACTCATCTACAAGATAGTAGAAACGTGCCTGCTAAGTAACCAGTCAAGTGTTTTTAGGTATTTATTTTTTTTTATGTTTTGATCAGCCTTCAAATCCTCGAGGTATCCAACAGCAGGCTTAGTTTTATTTGCCAGCTCTCTGTTGAAACATGCCATCAGACCAAGTACAGCCAAAACAATCTCAGTGCAATCTCAGTCTCCCATCATGCTGTACCTCCCCAATTCCCCCACAGTTGTAGCAGGGAGTGGGTGCAGGAGGTAGATGTTTAGCTGTATGACGTATAATACAGTAACTGTGTCCCTCTATGTGTGCAAACATTATATTACTCGCGACATGCTATGCTAACACTCAAAGCTATCACTACTTTTCATAAGGTTTATTTCTAATTTTGAAACTGAGCTGCTAATTTCCTCAACTTTCACTCTGTGTTATTACTCATTACAATCAAAGCCACTGGCAACAATGATGCATTATGCCAAAAACAAACTCTTTTGCATGTAGTGATGGTCTCACCATTGCTACACTTCCTTTATTGTTACTGGCACGTGAAGAACTGAACACAAGGCGTGTGCACGCAGGTGAGAAAGCACAACGCAGCTCCTCCCACGCATCATGGAACATCGCATTGGAAATATGTGGGGGACCCGGCTTTTGTACTGTAACTAGGATGAAGACCTTTGTATCTCTGAGCCCTGAGATAATGCTGACTGATAAATATCTGAGTACTGTTGTTGAATATTTGGAATTCCCAAGCAATTTAAGCACAGCTACAAGCAATTCAGTTTAACCTCACAGCTCCATCTTAAAAGGTTTCTCAGCTTTAGTTTGGGCTGTCGTCTAAAAAAGAAAAAAGCCTGATGCAATGGAAATGTAAGACAGGCAAATCTCTCTGCTTCTCAGTCTGTACCTCCGCCTTCTCTGACTGTCAGCTGCTTCCTGGTTGTTACTGAGTTGGTTCTTGTTTACCAGTTGATCACCGAATTAGAATTAATTATATTAATTGCTTTAGGTGGAAAGTTCAAGCTCAGCCTGATTCACTGCTCTGATTTTATGACCTTGATCGGCTAAAAGTAACATGGATACTATTTTCATCTGTGTCTGCTTCTCTTTCTCTATAACAGATCCATTAAGTCTAAATACAGCTTGTAATAAAAGTAAAGTTAAGCTCGATTAAGACTCCGTGGCCTTTGTGCGCTGTGTCCATGAATTGGAAAATAGTTTATGTGTCCACGAAACGCGACTGGTTTTAGCTCAGAGTAACGTCACAGAGGTTGGCCGCATGAGTCAGTCTGTGGTTCACAACAAAGAAATGTCAGTTATGCAGACTGACGAGATTCCTCTCTACACAACTCTGCCGCTACCAAAATTATTCTGCCACGTCTTTGTATCTATGTTTACAATAGATAGGTAAATACAAAATATGTAAAGCTGTTTAAACAATCAACTGTGCCTGCAGTAGGACAGCATATTAGCATCAATACCATATGTTTGTGTTGTTTTTATTCTTACCATAATTATATTTAAGTAGTTTGTTCTAATAATGGTTCAGAACTGGAACAACAAGTTTTTTTTTTTAACTAGAACAACAAGTACATCTACTGAAAAAATGTCTGTGACATCAGACACTTTGACCTGCAGGAGCAGCTCCTGTTAAACACAATGTGATGTGACGCGCCCACAACCACATGTATAAATAGATTTAAACGGTTTTGTTTTTTCTGTGTAGTGGTGCGGTTTTAGCTTTCCAAGTATTCAATCTCACTGATGTTGTTAGCGAGAATTAATTATCAGGCGACAGCTTATCAGTTTCTGTTGTTCCACTTCTCATTTGTATGGGACTACCGTATGCATATTTAACACTTCTCTTAGTTCAACAAAAGGTTTTTCTACCGTCTTCTTTTCTGTCTGCACACCAGCAAGAGAATGTCACCTATCTGAATCAATATGTTGTTTACTACCTATCGCAGCATGTTTCATTTTCAAGGCCAGTGCGGTATTACTGAAAACAAATGTTATGCATTGTCTTTTTTTTGCAGAACCAAAGACAGCATGTACCACGCTCTGACCTATGCCACTATCTTGGAGATGCAGGCGATGATGACCTTTGACCCCCAACACATCCTGGCTGCAGGAAACACCATGAAGGAGGCCCAGGCTATTTGTCAGCGGTGAGACATTCCTACAACACCATGGTGAAATAATGCCTGGATGACCAGCTGATAAAATGTGCACTCATACTGCTGATTTAGACATTCAGGTACACAGTACATGATGCTGTATCGTTTGAACATGTATTAGTAACATCATACCAAAACCAGAGAACATGCTGGGATTGTCTTGACTCACTGACCCAAAGAATGTCACAGCTGCCTGCCACAGTTTGTCCTGGAGCCACTGTGAGAGTCCGTCATGACTCTGAGCTGATCTAATTAGCCCAGTCTGATAAACATACACTCTTGTTCAGGCCGAAACTGATCTGAAGTCACAGACGCAGTTTCCTTTATGATGTTGTGACTATTGCTTGGAAAATTTAGTGCATGGTCAGCACCTTGAGGTAACTTCATCCTGCAGTAGCTCAGCATCCTGTCTTTTCTGGAAAGAGGCTGAGTCACTGATTTGCATTGGAAACAAGATAAGCAAAGGGACGCAGGACAGTGCAACGCCGCTGAAAAACAATCTCAATCTCACATTTTGAGTGAAACACAGCCACTGATACCGGATGATGGTTTTGTGCTTGTGTGCTTTCAGGCACCGCAAGAAGTCAAGCTTCTCCAAAAGCTTCACAGAAGGTCAGTAACGCCGTGTATTGACAGGAGGGTTAAAATCTGTCTCCATCGTTTATTGACAACATTTAGGTAGCAGTTTCAGTTGTGCTTTACGTGTGTGTCTGTGAACATTTTGTGAGAAGCAATGACAACCTTTGCTTCTGTTGTGTGTATGTGCCCTCATGTGAAAGTGCTAAGTGTGCATGTGTATTTGTGTATGTATATATCTGTATGTGCGTTTGGGTATTTCGCTGCAGCCCCTGGGCTCTGCTGAGCTTTCAGGCTGACTGTGACATAATCATTTTCACCTCAGAGGAACTACATGCTGAAGTTTGCTACGCCGAGTGTCTCCTGCAGAGGGCAGCGCTCACCTTTCTGCAGGTCAGGAGTGAGGCTTTACCCAGACAGCCCGGCACTGAAAACGGCTTCCATCGATACATTTATGTTTTATTGAAACTCACTCTCATTTAAACTCACTCTGCTTTTTTCCCTCTCTCCTGCTCTCTTGCTGCTGCCTGGCACAGGATGAAAACATGATCAGTTTCATTAAAGGGGGAATCAAAGTGAGGAACAGCTACCAGACATACAAGTGAGAATCTTAAATCCAGAATATCCTTGTTTGTTCATGTCAAGTTTTTGTCAACTATTCCCAATTTCCCATTAAACATGTTCTATCTTCCTCTTTACCCTGTAAAACATTTAACTTTCTCCCCTTATCTTTACTTTACAGGGAGCTCCACACAGTCCTCCAGTCTGCTGGATACAGTCATGGTGATAACCATGGCCATTTTGAGGGTGGTGTTAAATTGGGAGTAGGAGCTTTTAATCTAGTAAGTGGAAAGCTTAATGCAGTAATTTGTTGGGTTAATGGACTACAAACATGTTTTGAGCCTTATCCAAAGGAAACAATATTGAAAACAATTTGCTTGCATTACGTGTTTTGTGATTTCCATGCAGATGCACATAAATAGCAAAAGATGAACATGAAAATAAGAGTCACTATAATCTAACATGGAGGCAATGCGTTTTTATGAGCTTATTACTCTTCATGTAGCACTGATAGATAATTATTTGATTATAGCCCTTTCATGAGCCTCTTCTGCAGACTATCCAGTTTATCCAAAATAGTTGCAAAAATGAAAAATGCTGCTATCAAGTTTATGTAGTTTAATCATCTAGGGAAGTATAAAGAACTCAAGTAAAGAAGTAATTATCTCGGGTTACTTTGTAGGTTGTAAAACCTCCTTAATTACTGTACAACCCATGGCCTTTGTACAGTATGCTTAGGAAATGCAAGATCATTTCCTTCAAAACCACCGATGTTGTAATGAAAAAGAAAGGATCCTGTAATCCAGCTGTGATCCTTTCAATTGTACTTCTTGTCTACTTCCTGCAGATGATTTCCATGTTGCCCACACGGACGCTCAAGCTGCTTGAGTTTGTCGGCTTCTCCGGTAATAAGGTGAGTGCTGCTGTGAAAACCAGTTATAGCTGACAGCTGGTCTACCGGAGGGTGTAACAGCTCTTGTTAGGGGTGTTTGACACAGGATGGATTGATCTGCTCTGCGTGAAGCGCCACATCCTTTCTCTTAATAATACACTGAAAACTGTGGTTGGTTCATAAGTTGGATTTGTGATCTCACTTTCACTAGCTACTTTAGTCTTGCCTGTGATTATGGTGAAGCTCTTATATTTACTACTGAGTTGACAATGAAGCTGACATGTTTAGTAAAAGCATGAGACAAAACTTTTACAGCTGCACAACTTGATGTGTGAATGACTTCAAATTGCTTTGATCATGATGACTGATGTATTTACTTATTTACTTATTGTACTTATTGTATTACTAAACTGTATTTCTGTGGATCATGACTTCCTATTTTTTGTTATGCTAGAAGAATGATTTAAGCTTCTTAAAATACTGACTTGGTTTATGTGATCATTATACAAAATAATTCAAAAGCCTGATATTACTTTCATATTATGTTTATCTTCTGGGTGCAAAAAACTAGACATTATATACAGACGTTACAGTCTGTGACACTGTGAACTTGCATATCCTGTTTATGTACAATAATGCATTTATGTATTTTGCACACAGGCCTATGTGTGACCCATTTCTGTTCAGACTGGGTGCCTTAAATTACTCTGGTAGACGAGCAGATGTTGCTCATCCTCCAGCACCCACTGAATGAAAGTCCACACCGTGTGCTGCTTTTACTGCTCATTGACCAAAAGATCTTCCTTAAAAGGAGACTTAATTCAAACTATGAATGTCTATGATTGTGTGTGTGTTTGTGCAGGAGTTTGGTCTCCAGCAGCTTCAGGAGGGCTCTGCAGAAAGCACATTTAGGTCCTTCCTCTGTAACATGCTCCTGCTCTGTTATCATACCTTCATGAGCTTCATACTCGGTGAGCAAATGAGACACACAGACACAGACACACAGACACACACACACACACACACACACACACACACACACACACACACACACACACACACGTGCAGCTGCTATCAACCACAAAGACAAAGAAGCACCTTAGTTAGTTTTGTTCTGTTTATTTTCTTGCAGGCACTGGAGAAGGAGATGTTGAAGATGCAGAGAAACTGCTGCAGCCATATCTCAAAAAATATCCGAAGGTTTGCCAGAATTAAACACTGTATTTAATAGATTTATTTTAAATTTTCCACATGATTTAAAGTATCATGTTTGAAGTCACTGTTTATCTGTTGTTGTATCTTTCTCACAGGGATCCATTTTCTTGTTCTTTGCTGGTCGAATAGAAGAGATCAAAGGCAACCTGGATGCTGTGAGTACATCCGAAAGAACCACACGTACACACATTTTCACCACTGCACTATCCATGTGGAATTTTTTCTTCTTATGCATCATGGCATTACACATTTCTTGATGTTTCTGAGTGTCTTATGTATCCATGTGTCTGTCAGCCTGTATTTGAATTTGAATGTGTGGGTCCACTCACTGTATGAGTCTGGGACGTAGTGACCAGAGGTGGAGGACATGAGTCACATGACCTGAGTCAAGTCATGCGACTCAATAAGCAACATTAAACAACAATACATTTGAGGAACTAATTCTGTAAGTTATCATAAGATTGAGTTACATTGGCCTATAATATAATTACCAAATTGAAAAGAAAGAATTGCTATTTACTCATCCTGTCTGTCTGCATTTATTTCTAAAACATGACATTAGCGACAGCCAAAATTTTTACACATAATGATGACACATTTGTCTTTAAACTCAGGTTGCCCATTGATTGACTTTGTCCTCATCAATTTATAAAATATTAGAGAAGTTTTGAGTCGTCTGTGTCCATTACACATAATTCTTAACACTGACTATTGCACACGTCCTGAACCAGAATAAGAATAAAGGAAACCCAACAGAAGACTCTATCTCCATCTTCATCACATCACACAAGTCATGTCAAATATCTATTAGTTTGAATCATTGACCCATTCAAACATGATTTATACTGAGTTGCTCACCACATATTAGTCACACTGAATATGAGTAAGAAGGACATATCTGCAGTTTTTGTGTATGTTTCCAGGCCATCAAGCGTTTCGAGGAGTGCTGCGAGGCTCAGCAGCAGTGGAAGCAGTTTCATCACATGTGCTACTGGGAGCTCATGTGGTGTTTCACATACAAGAGGCACTGGAAGATGGCTTACTTCTACGCAGACCTGCTCAGCAAGGAGAACTCATGGTCCAAGGTGGGCTATCGTAGTGTGGGATTGGGGGGATATGTTCAGGCTAATGGAAAAATGAATGGGAATGACCATCAGAGTCAGTCAGCCTTTCATAAATTAAGAACATCAACATTATTTTCAGTTCAACAAATGTTTTTGATGATAACAAAAATGTTGTAGACCTTTGTCAGCTTACATAGAAACATATAACATGTAATAATCCTTCCAGAATAAAAATCACCACCAGTTTGGGCATTTTGGTGAACCTAATGGTTATGATATATAACTTATACACAATTGCTCCCCAGTTCAGTTCCATTGCCCTGGTCTGACTCTCTAAACTCCACATAGTTGTAGTTCTTTCCTCTCCTCATCTCATTTGAAAAGGAATGATTGGATTGCAGCGGCAACCAGTTTTTTTTCCTTCCCTCAGGCTACCTATGCGTATATGAAAGCAGCCTACCTCAGCATGCTGACGAAGGATGATTGTCTAACCTTCGGGGAGTCTGCGCTCACTCTGTTCAGGTACGAACTAAGAGCTTAGATACTACCGAAACTGCTCACATCAACCACAGTGAAATAGATATATTCAGTGTGACAGTTATATATCTATAATATCATAATCACTTCTTCTGGGAAGAGAAGTCTTTGGCAGGGAATATGAACGCACAGAAAGGAGAGATGCCATTTCTATCAGAAGGGAATGATATAGCAAAAAAAAAAAAAAAAAAACTGGTTGACCTTAAATCTTCTGCTGGCACAAAACAATACATGTGTTTTTATTGATGGTCAACAGCTGCACAAGTGTTCTAGTAATTCCTTTGGCATTCTTTATGCTGTTTACTTGTTTGTTATTAGACTTATATGTCTCTTATATGTTGTATATGTATTTGTTGTACTTATTTATTTTAATTGCTCTTTGTACAGCATTTTGGTCAGCTCAAGCTGTGTTTAAATATGCTATAGAAATAAAGTTGACTTGACTTGACTTGACTTGGCTTAACTTTTAAACTGTCTCTGGGGTGTGTCCACAGAAATAATGTGTCACATATTGTGTTGTTATACTGACATTCATGTGTATGAATTTGTTTATTGTATCATATTTCAGGCAGGTTCCAGCGCTGAAGCAGAAAATCGCTGGCAAGTCTTTACCAACAGAGAAGTTCGCTATCAGAAAAGCCCGTCGCTACCTTGCAGAAAACCCCATTCCACTTCCTGCTCCTCCACTGGTCAGTACTGGACGAGGCTGGATTTTTACACTGTTTCTATAACGTGTTGCATTTCTTCATGTAGGAATCTGTTTTTAAAATATCAGAGAAATTGCTTTGTTTTGTTTCACACAGACTTTGCCCTATAAGAAGCTCTTTTCTCTGAAATTTGAATGAACCAGTTTGGCCAATCAGGATGGACCCACCAACCTCTAGGGTTTCAGGATGTATAAACAGCTGCTGTACTCTGACCCACTATCCACAAAGTCAGCAGATAAAGGCATGTGTGTGATGAGTAAGAGACAACCCTGTGTTCACAGAACCAAGGTTATGATTTGTAACATTTGTTCTGTTTCACCCTGTATCAAAAGCTGCAGTAGGTTGACAGGGAACAATGCTCATTGGCTATGTTATGGCGTTTCACAAGTCTATCATCCAACTGGGGTGGCTTTTCCTGGGTAGGACATTACGCCCCCCCTGGGTCCATGCGCTGAGACCCGAGACCGAGCCCTCTAACCTTGTCGTTCTGCCACAGCTTGAGTTGTTGACATTGTGGCTGCTGGGTTAATAATACTATGGACATTTATACAACCTGTGCAGGCGTTGGTGGCTAAGGATTCAGTGCAGTTTGGAGAGCTTTGTCTGTGCACTTAGAACTAGTGTTACAAGAATAACCTTTGTTAAAGTCAGACCATAAAGAGAGCAGAGGTTTGTCAGAAAGAACACGTTTCATGTTGACCTATATCAAAAAAGAAAAAATCACTGGTTGTTGCTTTTAAACTATTTGTGTGTATTTGTGTGCTGTCTAGGAGATGATGTACATATGGAATGGCTATACAGTCATTGGCAAACACAAAGACCTGACGGAGGGCATGCTGAAAACACTGGATGAGGCACAGGCTAAACTTGATAGCAGCCCAAGTATGCACATTTATTTACCACATTCTCAAAGATCTTTCCAATGGATTAAAATTCTCTTTTTCTTTTGTTTTGATATGAATATGCTAAGGTGGCTTACATTTATTTCAGATGCAAGCAAACTATTGTGAACATATGAACTGCTTGTTAGCTCCTAACCGTCCTGCTGTGTGTTTGTCAGGGACTGAGTTCTCCATAGATGATCAGTGTCTGCTGAGCTTGCTGAAGGGACTGTGTCTCAAACACCTGGGGCATCAAGAGGAGGCCGAACACTACTTTACCCTAGTCCTCTGCAAGTAAGTCTCTCTCAGTTACATACACAGACATGTACAGACAGTGTATGCATCCAGAAAAACAGATATGCTCTAGTCTCTTGCAGTGTGCCATCAACACGTAGCCCATATATGCTGTGCATCCTCTGATGAATAAAGGCAGTTCTGTTTTAAAAAACACAGCACAAGAGTTGAATGCTTCATACTGACTTTACCTCCACACATACATTATCTGCAGTGAGACTCAAATCAAGTATGACCACTACCTGGTTCCTAATGCACTGCTGGAGCATGGTCTGCTGTGTTTGGAGCAAGGCAGAAAAGATGAAGCTATCAAACTCCTAGAAGCAGCAAAGTAAGTCTGTTTAAACACCATATTCAAGTCATCTTTACTCATTGAGAAGCTTTTTAAATCAAAGATTTTCACCTTGCTTTATATTTTTTCACATAGTCTACAACTACAAATCATGGCTGTTTTTTTAACTTAAATATGCCACACCCATTTGTGTTTGTGGTTTTCATCAAATATTACAGAGAGCGATGTCTGTTGAAACCATTTTTTTGGTATATGGGTTTATTACAATGCCCATGTTTGAAATTAGAACTTGATTGAGATTGAGATTTTCCTCTGATGTGATTGTAAATGACTCTTCTCGCTCTGTTTCAGGCAAAATTACAAAAACTACTCAATGGAGTCACGGACACACTTCCGCATTCAGGCTGCTCTGCATAAGGCCAAGGGCACCGGGGAGAACGGCGTTCATGTTCCCTCCAGCCCATAACTGACAGAGGAGGGCACACTAGAGCAGAGACAGCTTTCTGTTTCTGCAATCCCACAATGCAACACTCAGCCCCGCCCCGCCCAGCCCCGCCCATTCAGGCGGGCATTTTGTTTTTTGCATAAGGATAGGGGAAGAGGGATGCTTATTGTTCTTGTGTGTGCCATCCTTACGGGCAACTGCAGCTCTTTGTGGCCATGACTGGCTGCTGGTTTGCTACACCCTCTTCCAGAAATATATTATGATGAAATTAATTTTCTTGTGTAATATGAAATAGAGAAAGTTGAGAAATGTGCCTATACTTAAGAAACATTGCTTCTAGCAGGCTTATTTGTCTACCACCATGGCCACCCATAAGGGGTGCACTAGGGTGAAAGACAAGGTCACATTTGTATAGTACATACCACAGAGGGCCTCCACTGCTACCCCAGGATAAAAATGTGCCCGGTTCAGGGTACTGGGGTTGGACCTGATGAAACCAGAGTACCAAACAGCCCACAAGAAATTACTGACACTAACTCCAACATTTGGTGTTGGTCGCTACAAAGCACTCCCACTTCTTTTAATCTAATGTGAATTACTGATTATTGATACACATCATTATGTGTTGACATAGTTCGACACCTGTTATACTCATCACATATTCCATGAGAACTATGAGACTGTTTTGTACTGTGTCATTTGATACATTTTTGTTGACAGGTTTCCCTTTGTTCAGATGTTTGATCACCAATATGACCAAATTAGATGTAAATTCTGAATGTTGGATTCACTTTTTTAACTCTACATAATCTTTGGTTCGTTGTGTTTCTCAGATTGAATGAACTTTTTATTGTTTACTTTAAGTTTTCTTCCTTTCCTTGAAACCTATTGAAACACTTTCTTTCAGTCTCCTTCTGAAGAATTGATCAAATCCGCTGTATTTAAAGTTACATGTAATGGCTCTTTGCACAACGCTTTGTAAATCAGCCAGCCATGCAAACTCTCCATTGTCAAAAAATGCCTATCAGACTTGCAGTGAGAGTTGTTGGTTACATTTATATACTGTAAATGGCACCTTTTACACAAATTGTCCCGTTTTAAGAGGACAGATGAATGTGTCTTTTAGAAAGGCAGACTCCCTCCTTTTCTCCTCCTGGTGTGTGGGACAGGCTCCAACAGTACTTGAGCTTGAACAAACAGGCCATTCACGGCGAGCAGCGAAGGACTGCGTGCTTGTCTGCCTGTTGCATCTTTAGTGGGTGAAGAAGCTGTGAATGGCAACCACCACAGTCTTCCTGCTTTGTGAACATCCTCTGCTGCTCATGTATCAGCCATGCTTGACTAGAACCACCTATAGAAATACTTCAAAATATCATAACCACGATTCTGTAACAAATGATTATCTGTATATGAACAAATACTTGTAATGATTGAAATGATAAGACAGAAAGTGGTCACCTCTAATTGTGCTGGTGGTGAGGTTCTTTGAATGGCTGTGTCCCAGCAACAGTGTCCACAACCTAGAAACTCAGATGGTGTTTCAAGTGTTGAAATTAGAGCATTGCTGATTTATTCATGATTAGAGTGAGGTTTGGGATTCAAGACGATAACTAAGAGTCAGTTTCAATTTTTTAATGGTGGAGGAAATGTATTCTTAATACTGTTTTAACAGCAGTTGATCTCTGTAATATTCAAATAACAAATCGTCATTTTCTAATAATTAATCAAGCTTGTTTTTTTTTCCCTTTGGTTTTACTGATGTAGCTGAAAGAAACTCTAACCAAATTTAGTGGCATTGTGATGTTGACAATCAGCATATTATACTGGGCACGGCTACCACAGAGCAGAATGACATTCCTGTACATACTGAATGTTTCTATTGTAATTTAAGATGAAATGATGATAAGCAACTAAAAAAACACATCCCATTTTGTGTTGTCTTTCTTTGTCAACTGTGCATCACAAACAGAAGAAGCAGTTCAAAGTGGTATTATTTACAGAACAAAATAGGCAATGCTTGCATGCAAATCGTTGTACCCGTTGTTCTAATACGTGTGATCTAGATACAGTAAAGTCATCATCTCGTCTTGTTGTCATGCAAGACAGTGGCAGCCAGGGATAAGAAGACAATAGGTAGCCTATTAGAATAGTATACAGATCATATTAAATTGAAAATACACATAGGGGGCTTCAGTTGACCAGCAAGAAAACCGTAAAAAAGTGGGTGATCGTGTATTGTTTTGAGGCCGGTCCTGGTAATAGCAAAACTGCCCTGAAATTGCAATTCCAAAGACTCATTTATCGATTTTAGCTCTGTGTTTATGTTTTTAGCAAAGGGCAATGTGATCAATCTGATTGGCTGTAAATTCGACGTTGCTTGACGAAGATGAAAGCTCATTGGTGTAGTTGTGTGAAGGGGCGGTGCTTCGTGTTGCTACATCACCACCTTTGTCGTTGTTGGGCAGCTGCAACCTGGAAAGTCCCTGACAGCCGGGGAGGTTCACTGCGGCTTGCGGTTTCAATTAAATGAGGGATATTACATTTCTTTGCCTCGCTACCTCTGCGGATGTAAAATTCTGTAAGGTTTTTCAGTCGTGGTTTTATTTTTATTAGCTAAACGAGTGCTAGATGCTCCCCTGCGAGTGCTAGCTTGTGTTAGCAGGCTAGCTCTTTGTGTGGCTAGCTGCTAGCTGAGGGATGTTTTGTTGTTGTTGAAACGGGCAGCCCTCCCGTCGTCTGGGAGAGGAGATTCATCAGCTGTGTATGGAAAAAGCGGCTCCTCGACGCCTTCTCATCCACTGACATTAACTGCGAAAGTGGCCCGTGAAGCCCGCCGTTAGCAAAGCGACACGGAAAGAGAGAGAGAGAGAAGGAAGAGTTTGACCGACGAGGAGGGAGATGGGAAACTGTCTGAAATCCCCGACCTCGGATGATATTTCTTTGCTACATGAATCTCAGTCGGACCGGGCCAGCTACGGAGACGGTGCTGACCCCGACCAAGAGCCACCGCCCCCCTATCAGGTAACTTTGATCAACAGTTTTAGACCAGTTTATGAACACCTAGCTTTTGTGTTTTTTCTGAGAGGTTGAACCAAATTAAATAATACCTGAAGTTTGGATGATGTTAATTCATGTGTGGCATGTCTGGCCCAGTATACCAGTCTAGTTTTTTGACAGTGACAACAACCAAGAAACTGGTGTTAAACTAACTAACCTGTGAGGCTAGATCAGCTGTCTACAGATCCATCACCCTTGGCCAGCAGTCTAGCCCAGTGACCCTATCCCGTTATGGCTTTGACACTAATCCTCTTTGTTATATCCGAAGTTACCGACTGTGTCTCCCATTTCCCTGAAGTCACTGATATGATAGCAGCACCATATCATCACTTGCCATAGTCTTCATTGAAACACACTGAACTATGTCATTTTGGTTCCTATTCAGTGGAGATGAACTAAGACACACAGACTGTCTATTATGGCCTGAAGTTCACTTTAACAGCATGAACTGTAATTTGAATGGACTTGAAACAGACCCCAGTTCTTCATTAAAGAGGGAGTTTTGTAGATTTGGAAAACAGTGACTCTCATAACTTTCTCAGCTGCTTCTTTCACTGATCTCCTCCAGGGCAGCAATTTTGTTTGTCTGGTGTCCTTATTTCCTGAATTAGATCATCCACAAACAGACCAGGTCATGTTGTAACTGTAAATACGATGTATGGTGTTACCCTTCTCTTGTGTGTATTTCTATGCTAAGAGGTGGCTGGTATGCATTATGTAAGGCCTTGGCAGAGAGTTTGCCTGTTACTAGGTTAAGCCAAGCCTTATCTGTAGATTTAAGATAAGTGCTTTTAAATGAATGGGAAACTGAAGGTGATGTCAGGTCAGTACAGCATGAGAGCTCTCATTATAGAGAGCTACATACTTCTTTGTTTTGAATTAAATATACTGTATCCAAGCGCAAAACTTTATTATACACTAGTTACAGCAAAGATATGAACATAAAAGGGACAATTTGCATGTTGTCTGTCATTTGAAAAGCATATTTTTACTTTGATAATTGCATAACTAGGTTTTAAAATGCTAGATTCTATGAAATAGTTATAAGTATAGCTAGATATCCAGTGGATATTTGAAATCACCAGCTGCCTCTAACCATTGGCCACCATGCATATATCCAGTTAGTAGTTGGGTAGATGGTATTTTTTTGTCCTTTATAGATCTCTCTCTTTCACCATTATTGGCGAGGTCAGCGTAGTTCTTCATCATCTACATGTTATTTAAACGACCAGAACCAACAATAGTTTAAAAAACCCCTGAAAATATATAACGGATGCATATTGCTGCATTTGGTGACATATTCCCATTCCCAAGTGTGTATACATTAATAATATTAAAAATATTTTTGATCCTTGGAAAGTGTAGTAGTTATGTGTTGGGTCACCATCACTGCACATGCTCAGAGAGGCTGTTCTTTGTCTTTTTTCAGTTTTGTTTTATATATTTCAGTCAGACTTTACAGCTGAAATCACATCAACATCATGACCTTGTACTATATTTCCATTTAATGTACAGTATGTTGATTTTTAAATTTTTTTATGGTGCATAATACAATCACCTATTTTTTTTTTCAGTCATCACCCATTAATTATCTTTTAGAGAAACTGATGGTTAACTCTGTAACTTGAACACACTGTATGCTAATACATGAGAGGCACAGACTGATGTGTGGTCAGTTCATGAAAAAATTTCCAGGTAACATCACAAAGACAAGACAGTTTCAAGTTGTTATTCATAACAGTTGCCATTTGTTATCAGTGGAACCAGTAAAAGATTATATCTGAACAGAGCTAGGAGTCCTTGACATGAATCCATGTCCAGGTTGTTACAAGTAGGCCTATTGTATGTCATGTCTGGCATACAGCAGTGTGTAATTAGGTCAAAGCAGCCAGCTCTGGTCTCATAGAGGAGAGATGTTGTGATAAACAACACAAACATTGCTTAGTTTCTTTGTGGCTCTGACTAAGCTTTCACTTGTCTTGAGAAAGTCTGTGTGAGGTTTGTTCATACTGACAGAGTTTCACATGAGGGTTAACTAACTAGTTTAAACCTGCTGATAAAGGGCTCTTTCAGATCTGCCAGGGCTTTTCTCCCCGGTGACCACAGTAATCGGCACCTTCACCATCTGAACACAGCACACATTTTTTGTGTGCTTGCAGTTTGGCTTAACACACGTTAAAAGGGCTGTGTGTGTTAGAAGAGGGACTAAAGGCTACACTATACTTGAAATTGAGTTTGCTGTGTTCATAGAAGGTATTGAGTATGGCCCTGGGTCCAAATGCCAGTATACTCATTGCAGGTCTGTCCTTCATACCAAAGGGTCATGGTGAAAAAAAATGATGCCGGAAATCACAACAGTTAAATCCAAAACAAAGACAATATGACCTCTGGCTGTGGTTAAATTACAGAAAATGAATACAGAAGACAGGTGGTGATTTAGAACCAACCCTGGTATTGTTTTTACAGCCTAAAAAAACAGTCGGGACAGGATGGAAACATTACTTTTGTCTGGCTGTCTGGTAAAAAATGAGAATGAATGGGGATTTTTCATTACAAATCTCCCAGCAATTCATTGTGTATGAAAAGCAGTCCATCACAGTAGAAATACAATAAAGTCATAACAATATGTCACAACAATAAGATGACAGACAGGTGACAAATTAAAGGAAAAACCTGAAAAATGAGAAACCGGATGACCTCCCATCCATAGGTCACGAGGGGTCATTGAATGGTTTGATGAAAATCATATGCTATGGCCTGCACAGTCACCAGATCTCAACCCAGTTGAACACCTATGGGAGATTTTGGACCGATGTGTTAGACATAGCTCTCCACCACCATCAGCACAACAAATGAGGGAACATCTTTTGGAAGAATCAATGCTAAGGAGCATTGAAGCTGTTCTGGTGGCATGTGGTTGCCCAACACCATACTAAGACACTTTATGTTGGTTTGCAGAATAAGTAGGTTTTCACATACAAGGAATTTGCTTTGGTGTTATGGTGTATAACAGTAGACATGGTAAGAAGAAAAAACAAAGAAAGGTAGACCCTTTCCTCCCTTTCCTTTAAGTGGTCACCCATCTGTAGGTCCATGATCATTCAGGGAGTTGATCCATACTATTTCTTTCCAAGTTGCCTGGAATTGACAGATCTTTGTATCACAATCTTTCCTAGCTGTAGATAACAGGTAAACTGGCAACATGTACCCAATGCCCATGGGAAAACTGTGCAACAAATCACATCACTAATTGTATGAGACAGTACATTGGGAAGAACTGAGAAGTTGTGACCGGAGCCTTACACACGATACTACCATTGAGTCCCCCCGATCCCTAGATTACTTGTGAAAACATGACAATTTTGATTTCACTTCAACCTTAAACACCTAAAAAAAAATGGAGATATGAAAGTGAAAAAACTGCTGTCCAGTAAAGGTAGTTTAGTCTATATATATATATTATGCTAAAGTTAGTTTGATGTTGTGTGTCAAAAAATATAAAACAGGTTATAAAGTTGTATAACTTGTTTCCAACATGTACAATGCACATAAAACAGTTAATCTGCGTGCTTCAGACACTCATCCTGAGGCTTATAAACGACTGCTGTTTCCTCGGAATCCACAGTCAGTGGTGAATCAGAGGACGGTGAATTCCGGCATCTGGAGATGGGTGTATCCACTGCCTGGCCCAAGGCTGCACTTGGTGGTGCTGAATAATTTCCTGGCTGAAAAGAGGCAGTGCACAGATTGGCATCTGGCATTAAGTCATAGGTTGCACAAAGACAGGGCCATATGTGGACACTATTCACAGAAACTCAGACTGTTTAGACTGCAATAATTTAAATGTTGAGCTTATTCTAAAATAATATTTTGATTAAGCTCTTCATAATTTAGTTGAAGGCCTCTTTTACTCTTATTCCTTCAAAATCATATTCCTGCATAATCCATGTGAGCCATACATGAGAGCAGGGATGGGGCAACACTTCAGATTTATAACTGCTTTTATTGCTTTAGCCTTATATTCTCTGCCACTCATTCTGCAGAGGCAGACATAATAATGATACGTCTTGCAATAAAACAGATTTAAAAAGGGATATTTGATGCAAAAACATGTTTTTGAAATACATAATATGACATGTAGCACCTAACCAAATATTAAATGATTGTAAAGCTCCCAGATATTTGATATTTCCTGATTTGATGGGCACCGTCTAGAACTAAATTTATACAGTATTTAAAGTTCCCTGTGATATAACATGATATAACTAGAATACTAATTCTGTAATATGTACTATTGAAATAACTTATAATAACTGAGATGATAATCAGAAAATCAAACAATAGCATATATTTGCTTAATATCAAATTATTGCTGTCCATATAGACATAGGTCTACGTGGCCAGTTGATGGATTGGTTTAGGGGTTGATGGATTGAAAGCTAAGTAGATGAGATCAGTCCACTGAGTCAACCACAGGTTATTGGACCATTTAATGTTTTGTCAAAGAGATTTCAAATTGTGCAAGTTTTTTTTTTTTTATCAACTGAGGAATCTACAAAGCATAGGGAAGCATAGTTAAGTTCTTTGGTCCTATTGTGAAGACCTCAGTGGGTGAGCCTGTGCCCATGTGTTTGTGTGCAGACGTGTGTTATGTGTTGCTTAGAGCATATCGTGTGTCGAATGTGGTGATTTGGAAACCAGCTGGTGAGACAAGTGCTGACTAGAGGGTGACACAGGAGTGGATTTTCCCTCCTGTCCCATCCCACTCTCACAATAACATTCCTATCCCATCCCAATCCCATCACAAAATTAAAAAAAAAAAAATCCTGTCTTGTCACAATCCCGTAAGAATGACTCCTGTCCCATCGGTCCTGTATTCTCTTGTTCGCTCCTTGCGGCAAGCTTTGCTCACCACTCTCGCACTTCCTCGGATACTCAGAGTGATGACAGTAGGCTGACAAATT